AGTGTTCTTTAGCTGGTATAAAGACGTATGCACGTGACTAATTTCTTACTCAAGATTGGATAATTGCTTCATGAATTATTAATGAGTTTTTGAAATATTTTTAAAATATAGCACAAAGAAATATAAAGAAAGAAATTTTCCGTGTTGACATTGAGTTATATCAACACGGCTCTTAGCCAATCAGCGTTCAGAATTTACAAATGCTATATATTATATAAAACGCACTAAACTATGCACTACATTTTTTGAGCTTCTTTTACTCGTGAACTAGGAAACGGCTTTAAATTGTGAGAAACTGGATTTGGCGCCCTTTCCATCACAGCTGCATTTGTCACTGATTTCACCAAACCTATTTTTAGTTGAAAATTAACGTCCTTTTCTGACCACCAACTCTCATCCACTTTTGACTTGCATTATAGCTATAGACGCGGAATTATTTCTAGACAGAACTAGGTCGATTCCGTGCATACTGTGCACTCGTTCCTTTCTTGTGCGGTTTTGACTCATAAGTGGAATATTGGAGAAATGCCATCATACAGTATTTATTCTCACTGCGGCAGACTTTCTAACAATCCACACAACTTCAAAATAATTCTTTACTTTCTATAGTACCCATAATCTCATGCATGCATGCAAAAGCATGAAATACGTTTAAAAATCAATCGATTCTATAATATAAATGAACTGATCTTTACCCAATATTTATGCCTAATTAGCCCTCAATTTATTTATGCCCTCACAATGCTTATGCCTGGTTCACACTGGTCGTAAGAATTGGGGATTTCCATTGTCTGTGGTCATTGGTGCAGTGTAAAATGCTTTGTCTGTCGGAAAAGAATACAATATATCGTCGATGAATTACGACCAGTGTGAACCAGGCTTTATCCTAAGTGGTGTTTTCTTTTTATTTTCTATAGAGTATAACAATTGTTACCTATTCTGTGCGGAATGTAGATCCGCTCCATTAATATGTGAATCATACGCTCCATCCTGTCAGAAATGTGAGAATAGTAATGCTGCTTTGGTCAGAGCATAATCAAGATAAATCCATCCAGATTTACCAGCTTTCATGATACAAACATTCATTGTAATAAATAGTAATAATTAACATATTTCTTCTGCAATAAACAAAACATTAATTAAATATGTGTTTGCTTGAATTTATTCATAACCAATGGTATATTGTGGCTGCAGTCCAAAAGTGCCGGAAATGGTAGATAGTTAAGGTCTCTAAAACAAAGATTTTTGCTCCATATTTAGCTAAACTTATGCAGGAGAAATTTAAAGCGTCAAGACAAAGAACCAATGAAAATAATTACCTTTCACCATGGCTTTAATATTATAGAGTATAGAACTATATGATAATATAAATAATCTACAGTATACAAATTTTCTTTAGTCTATAATTGAAGTTTGTGCGTTATATAATGGTTACATATCTTAACATGCATGGTTTGAATTTATTTTGTGGAATGCGCGGTAATATCATAACCGATTGCCCTAGCTATAATTATTCTCATGTTGCCCATCCCAAACGTTCCTTCGACAGTGTGCATGCACTGTACGGTATAGTATAATTAATAAATTTGATCGCATGTCACGCCCGGACCAAAAGTATATTATTTAATAAAGAAAAAGGGGAAATCATGTTGAGAGCCTGATTATAAGTGACAAGAATTCTACTTCATGCATGTCGCCTGATTTCTACAAGGTCAAGGAGATTACTTGGTGAACTCTTAAAACCCATGTAAACAGCTAATATCGCAGAATAAATATATTACATACATGCATGTGAAAGGGTGAACATATATACTTTAGTGGTGCTCGTGTACTGTATATATGTCACAATTTTAAACAATGAATTATCTGACAAAAAGTATTCCACAATGCACTGTGCATTCCCAAAGTCCTATATACACATATACAGGGTGTCTCAAAAAAACACAAAATCATTGAAATTGACGTATTGTTCGATATTCAATGCCCTAGCACTAAGTTAATCCCACGAGTGCATAAAAGATTGACATAACTGCTATAATGAATGGTAATACTCAGCGTAAACTTGTTATGTCAGGCATAAAGTACTAAACCCACGAATTTACGAAGCATTTTTAAATTTCCATGAGCAAACAAACGTTCACTTTACAAAGATATTTTAATTTTTTAAAACAAATTAATCACCCTGTCAAAATCCTTTGTGTTACGGCATTGAAATTCGAACAATACGTTATTTCAATGATTTTGGGTTTTTTTGAGACACCCTGTAGATACTTATTCAAATTTAGGATAGCTATTTGCATATTAGCCTTTCAATTCTAACTTGTTTGTGTCCTGTACAGGGTGTCTCAAAAAACCCCAAAATCATTGAAATAACGTTTGTTCGAATTTCAATGCCGTAACACAAAGGATTTTGACAGGGTGATTAATTTGTTTTAAAAAATTAAAATATCTTTGTAAAGTGAACGTTTGTTTGCTCATGGGAATTTAAAAATGCTTCGTAAATTGTAATATGCGTAATATGCATTCGTGGGTTTAGTACTTTATGCCTGACATAACAAGTTTACGCTGAGTATTAACATTCATTATAGCAGTTATGTCAATCTTTTATGCACTCGTGGGATTAACTTAGTGCTAGGGCATTGAATATCGAACAATACGTCAATTTCAATGATTTTGGGTTTTTTTGAGACACCCTGTACAGGGTGTCTCAAAAAAAAACAAAATCATTGAAATAACGTATTGTTCGAATTTCAATGCCGTAACACAAAAGATTTTGACAGGGTGATTAATTTGTTTTAAAAAATTAAAATATCTTTGTAAAGTGAACGTTTGTTTGCTCATGGGAATTTAAAAATGCTTCGTAAATTGTAATATGCGTAATATGCATTCGTGGGTTTAGTACTTTATGCCTGACATAACAAGTTTACGCTGAGTATTACTATTCATTATAGCAGTTACGTCAATCTTTTATGCACTCGTGGGATTAACTTAGTGCTAGGGCATTGAATATCGAACAATACGTCAATTTCAATGATTTTGGGTTTTTTTGAGACACCCTGTATAGCGCCTTTGACTTCGAGTAAAAATCTATTGTTGATGATCAATTGATCACGCCTTCGTTGACGTTGCCGTTGTATTTGCCAAACCCACTATTAAAAATTACGAGTGACGTACGTTAATACTTGTAATTGTGAGGTCTATTGTCTTGGCCGTATATCCGAGATAACGAATGTTTTCTTTGTTTTTATTTAATGATGTATAGCATTTTAATATTATAAGTCTTTTAGTATGGCATGACCATATTTCAATCAAAGCTAGATATTTGTGGAGGGGGAGCTAATATGCACGTTCTTAAATTATGTCCCTCCGGCCTAGCTCCTCCCGGCTTTTCCCACTGTTAATATAATGAATTAATTCGATTCCATGTCAATGTCTTCGGACAAAGAGAGAAGTCAAAAATAGACCTTGAGAAGGAGGATCGGGCGTGTTGTGTAAAATGAAAGAGTATAGCCACTTTAATATAAGTGTAAGTAGCACTTGTCGCGTTCCACAACAATGGGCCATATATGATTACTAATTTCCAGCACGAAAATCATTTGGAGACTCTTTAAAACCCAACCTCGCAAGCCATGCAGACTCTCTACTTCCGCTTCCCTCCCAAACACTTTAAAACTATGCAAACATCCAATATCGAAGACTGTTTACATGTAAAGTACATGCATATGAAAGTTGTTCCTTGTACAGTATATCATTTGTCCGATTACCTCCAAGAAACTTCGACCCTCGCTCTGCTTGATCTCCTTGCTCTTTTTACAACGGCAGTCGGCAGATGACCAATAGAGAGTTTAAGTTCGACTTCCAATACCAATACCGATACCAATGTTTTCACTTTCGTTCTCATTTTGGTACCGGGAATTTTAAAGCGTTAAGTTATCACGACAGATAAACTATAGAACACATTAATCGTCACCGAAAATGTGCGGTATACTAAACGGCAGCTGAGCTAAAATTCCGACCAAAACATGACTCAGGCGATGCTAATAAACAAATAGTTTACATGTTTATCGTAAAAATTATGAAATATCCGATTTATATGAGTTTATTTTACAATTCCCCCGACTTCCAATAGAAGGCCGACTTCGGTAGTGGTGACTTCCAATACCTTTGTCCTCGTGCTTCTTGCGAGCAGAGAGCATGCGCATGACATGTTGTTAGTATATCGGTGTTGGTATCGGAAGTCGAACTTAAGAGGCTGTCTCTCTAAGAACCGACCAATGACTCTC